GGTTTCCCCCTAAGATTGGGAACGAATTAAGAAAGTTCACTCTTACTAATCCTGTTTAACATCGTACTAGAAATCCTAGGCAGTACAATAAAACAAGATAAAGGCATTCCGATTTTAAAGAGATAAAACTGTTGTTATTCACAGATGACATTATCTACACAATGTCATTGAAAAAATGAAAAAAAAAAGCTCCTAAAACTAATAAGTGAATTTAGTAAGGTTGCAGGACACAAGGCCTCTATCTGCTAGCCAGGAACAACTGAAAACTGAAATTTAAACATATAAAATAACTATAAGAAAAAAGAAAACGTAGTAGTAATTAGGTGTATATATATATATATATATAGCTAACAAAAAACTTTCATGGTTGCTATGCCAAAAACTACAAAACATTGAAGAAAAAAATGAAAGACGACCTTAAATGGAGGTATATTGTGTTTATGGATTGGAAGCCTCAATAATTGTTAAGATATCGGTTCTTCCCCAACTGATTTCTATATAGGTTTAACACAACCCCAATCAGAATCCCAGCAGGATCTTTTCTTTTTGTGGATTCGGACAAGCTGATTCTAAAATTTTTATAGAAAGGCAAAGAAACTACAATAGCCAAAACAATTTGGGGAGAAAAATTTAAAAAATAAAGAATTCATACTACCTGATTTCAAGACTAATTATAAAGCTACAGTAATCAAGAGTGTAATTTTGATGAAAGGATAGATGCATATAGATCAATGGAACATAGTTTGTATGAAGCCAGTCCTTTGAAAATTTGTCGAGATTTACTTTATTGCCCTATACATGGTTCTATTTTCATAAACACTCATGTTTTTGAAAAGAAGTATTTCTAGTTGTGTATTCCACAGTGAATTTCACTGATTATAAGATGCACAATTTTCACATTTAAACATCTCTGAAATCAGTATGTACCTGGCCATCAATGGCATGTCACAGTTTAACTGGCAGTGTTTTTTCTTTCTTGGTGGTATTTAAGATAATCGTGTGTGCCTTAGAATCAATGGGGCTTATAGTTGATGAAATTCGGTACATTAGGTCAAATTTTTTAATTGTTCAAATCTGTCTTTGCAATTTTCCTGCTTTTTGTATCAATTAGGAGAGAGGTATGTTAAAAATCTACTAAGATAGTGAATTTTTCTCTCAATATATTTCTACATTTTGCTTAATAACATCCTGACTTTGTATTATTAGGTGCATTCAAGTTTAGATGTGTTTTATCTTCCAGGTGAGTTGAACATTTTATCATTTTTGTAGTGACCGTCTTTGTCCCAAATAATAATTTTTTCTTTAAAGTCTATTTTGTTCAATATAAATACAGCTATAACTGTGCTTTCTTATTTAGCTAGCATTTGACTGGTATAACTTTTTCCATGCTTTTACTTTCAACTTTGCTGTCTCCTTATATTTCAGGTTTACCCTTCTAAACAACATATAGCTGGATTTTATTTCCTAGTTCAACATGACAGTCTTTGATATTTAACTAAGATGCCCGGTGCATTTACCTTTATTATGATACATACACATTTCTACCATTTTATTTTGGGCAATTCATCCTGCCTGTTTGTTTGTTTTCTCTCCCTTCTTGTCTTCCTTTGGATTGATGAGTGTTTTTACTGGGCATAGAATTCTAGATTTTTTACTATGTACAATGATATAGTGAAAAGTAGAGGGCACTTTTGTCATTTCCCCAAGTAGTTCAAGCTTGTGAAAGACCATGTTCCATGTTCATGTGGTATCCTTCACCAAGCACAATGCTTTGTACATAGTTAATTCACAGAAATTATATTCAATTACTTATTTATGATGGCAATATGTAGTGGGCAAAGAAGTGATGTGGGCTTTTTCTTTTTAAAATTCATTGTTGGAAAATCTAAGTCAGTTTTGTTTAGTGTTTAATAAACTTAGCCTAAATTTTATTCACACGGTGTTTTCTGAATTAAAAAAATTTTTTGGCAAGCATTTTTTCCAGATGTGATATTAAATTCTAAGAGGTGGGGGCTGGCCCAGTGGCACAGCAGTTAAGTCCGCACGTTCTGCTTCTCAGCGGCCTGGGGTTCGCCGGTTCGGATCCCAGGTGTGGACATGGCACTGCTTGGCAAACACCATGCTGTGGTAGACATCCCACGTATAAAGTAGAGGAAGATGGGCACAGATGTTAGCTCAGGGCCAGTCTTCCTCAGAAAAAAAAGATGTCTGTTGAAAACAATGCTTTGATGCTTAGATTTTTCCCAAAACAAAGTATTAAATTACTATAGCTAAAATCCACACTAAGTTTTCTTTGGTCTGCTTGAATTTAGACTGGTTATTAAGGTACCATTTATGAACTTCTAAAAAAGATACAACTGGACATGTCATTTATGGATTCATGTAGCAAAAATAAAAACATGGACTGGATCCACACGAAATTCATGTTAGCGGTTTCCTTTAGGGAGGGACACTGGATTAGGGACAGAAAGGTGGGGAGTTCATCTGTGCATTTTTCTTCTTTAGAAAATGATCTGAAGTAAAGATAAAACGTTAACATTTGTTAATTCTGGATGGTGGGTGCACAAGGATTTGATATGTTCACTTGTGTAGTTTACTATACATTTTTCAAGTTTGTAAAACTTCTGTGATTTTAAAATACAGGTTGCCATCTAGTGGACACATTTAAACAGAACTTGAAAAACAGTGCAAAGCAGCTTTTCAGACTCTTCAACACAGGTAAGAAGGCACATTCTGGTAGTTAAGACCACAAGCTTTGGAGTTGATCAGATGCAGTTTTATTTACTGTGTGACCTTGGGCAAAATATCAAACCTCTGTGTGCCTTTGTGAGTTTGAACCCCAGACCCTCATTCCTTTAACAAACATTTTGGACCCCTCCTGAGACCCAGGTGAGCACTGCCCTAGACTGTGGGGATGCGGAAGAGAACAAAAGAGAGTCTCCCCCTAGAGTTCAATAAAGGGGTGTGTTGCCAGGGCAGGGGTTGGAGAAAGACTACTATTTTAGATTGAATGGTTGGAGATTAGGTTTAAATCCGAGATCCCTAGTTATTAATGCTCATATAACCTTAGGCAAGTACCAATGTCACAGGATGACATTAATATTTAAGTTCCACAAGAGCTATAACACTGCTTTGTTCATCACTCTTTTCCTAATAATGCTTGACATACAAAAAAGGCCTTCAAGAAACACTTGCTGAATGAATGAATGCCATTACTGTAATACAATTTCTGGTGCATAGTAAGCACTCGATAAATAGTAGATATTGAGGAAATGGTATGACTGTGTATATCATGTATGTGGGTAATCCTGGATTTACAGCAATTTAAATTGATACATAGTTATATAACATACCAGTTAAAAACTGTTGTATACATTTATTGAAGACAGCAAACTACTACATAAATCCTGTCAATTTTGAGGGAAAGGATCTCAACCATGAAATGGCAAAGGCCTGATCTCTAAGGCCTACTGTTTGCCGCAAAGAAATTTACACTGACAAAAGGGGGGGTTCGATTTATCAATGTCTCTTTAAAAAAAGCAGTTAAATGACATCAATCTCCTCCAAATGACTCTCCCTCCAAGATTCCTGCCAAACTCTCCCCAGAGCAGCTTCAGAATTCCTCAGCCCTGATGTGTTCCTTCACTGTTTTATAATAAAAACAAGCAGTATTTATTAATAAACACCTACTTTGTATAAGAGTAAATAATGTTATGATTACTGCAATTAGATTTTGATATACTTTGACATTTTCTTTCACTATAACCCGTAACTTTTCCTTTAAATTAGCTATCAAGCCCTAAGTCAAATTTTACTGACTTTATCTCATTTACAGCATCTTTTCTGGGAATTTGAACTGCCATTACGACAACAACATAATTCCAAGCTGTAATATATATTTTTATATCCTTCCTATGTCTACAAATTTTAACTAGAGAAAACTACAGGTTTAATCAGTAACTTTGATTTAATTGCTGAATGAATAAACAAATATAGTAAGATTTCCAAAGCTCTAACACATGCCCATTTTTCATGTTCTATTCAATAAAATTAAAAGGTTATCTTATTTTATATGTTTAAGATGTATTCATGGGCAATAATGTATTTCCATCAATATAAGTTAATAAATTTAAGTAAAATAGTAAATTAAGATAAGGAAATAATTTCATTGGTCTGTTGCACTTTTGAAGTCTAATTTCAGATTTGGACTATAATCGTCTTTAAAATTTCATAAGCCCCACACACTGGATTCAAATCAGGAAAACATCTAGGAAGATAATTTGGTATACATTTATGGAATCATTGGTGATTTGCCCATGCCTGTGACATACAGCTAGACTAGGTAACTTGATCTAGTGAGCAAGGCCCTACACCCAAAGTCTGAAGGCAGCGGAGAGTTTACAAATATTTGTGGATGTCCCGCTGTTTGTTAAGGCACTAAGAGCCAGACTATCTCTGTTGCAGTCAAGCATAACATCTGCCCAATATATTATCTTTTAAAACACTCTTGATATAACCCAGTGACCCCATACCTCTTCATAGTCTTCACGACTAATGGGCCACTAGTTTGAGACTCTGCCTTTACACAAGGTAGTAAGTAATATAAGCAATCCCATTGGTGACCAGACATTTTTTTCTTTTCATCAACTGCTGCCAAGTGAATGGAGTCATATTTTGAAAGACCCTGTTAATGAAATTTTTCATTAGGATTAATCACAAATTTATGAATTGGGTTAAGATTTCTACATAACAGTCTCTGTAACTACATCCTCAATACTTGCAGAAGAAAAAAATTTAGCTATCTTTAGTTTATTATAATTGCTTCTGACTGAATAAAAAAATATAAACATACCCCCTCTTAAAATAGGTAGTGTAGACTAGAATGTAAATTTATCCTCATTTTAAAACTAGAAATGCATTATAGTTAGTATAATTAACAGAATGGCTATCAGGAAGCTTGTCATTCATATCTCAAGCAATATATTTTACATTCAGCAAACTTAATTTTATCAAATGTTCTTTAATTTCATAGACAATATGATACATATTGTATAAGAAGCGCACAACAGTTTTGCAGTACAAAGTGTATACAAATTGGAATACAGAGGTTAAACACTGGTGTACTGACAGCATTTCTGAACTTTGGATAAACTGCATACAAAACTTACAATTCAAATATTAGCCAATCTGGAAACTTTACTTCCCATAATATAAAAATGATACTTTGAGAGATGCAAAATATTTTTTTTACTAAAACTATATAAACATTTAAAATAATCATTAAAAACTCAACTTTAGAATTTATAAAGATTAACTATAAAAATATATTGGCAGTCACTTTTCTTATAAATGTACCATTCACTACATTACAAAATAGTCTCTAACAGAAAATTGCCTTAACTGTACTATTTTAGAATCTGATAAACCTTACATTAAATCAGTTATAAAATCCTCTTGGAAAACTTTGGTATGTGTCTTTTCAGAAGGTTTTTGAAAAATACTCTAATATCATCTCAAGGGCCTGTAAACATTCCATTCTATTAAAGCACAACAGAGTAAGTAATGTATATTCAACTGCATACAGAATTACAGAATCAAAAACCAATTTATATCTGTAGAAAATCACCATTCCCAGAGTAACCAAAAAACAAACTATTTAAAAGTATCAAACTTTTAAACAGTTCTCTTTCCATTCTGATGAAAAATGTTATGAAATCACCGCACTCCATTCATGTACCTTAGACGCCTTGAGGACAAGGCCTCAAAAACCCTCTCGAGTCCAATAAACAAACTTTTAAAAACCCATTTAAAAAGACTTGACAATAAAACAAGAATAGATAATCAGAACACATAATTTATATATTGAGTTATGTATTAGCTTTTCTTTTATATTTGTAATTTAGAATTTATTGGCAGAAATAAAATACACACACACACACACACAAAATTGAAAAGGTAAATTTTAGGAAACAGTAAGAAATGCAAACCTACAGGGTAAATTGATTTATTTTTAAAAATTCAATTTACCAAATTTCATCTTATCTGCCATTTTTGGGTTATTGACAACTACTGTTAATTAGAAAATTCCAATTAGTGAAAGTTCACTTCCTGCTTCTTGAGTACGTTTAATTTTTACAGAGCTTCCAGTTGCGCCAGTAACTTCCTTGAGGTCATTCTCCGCTTCATCCTCTGTCACCAGATCTCTTGCATAAGATATCTTTGAGTTGCAAAAGCTAAATAAAAAGCTTCGTTGTTGACCTTTTAATTTATAAAACTCCACTAAAAAGAAAAGAAATCCATCTAATTTTTAGGCAAGTCCACAAAAATATTTTGTCTTAAGAATCAAACACTTTTATGGGAATAAAGATCCTTCAAAGTTTTTAACTCTTCTATTAGAGTTTTATTTTGATTTTCCAGGACTGCAACTCGATTTTCCAGGCATTTCACGTATTCTTTCTTCTTTCTGCGACATTCTCGAGCAGCTTCTCTAAATACAAGTATTAAAAACCAGTGTTAGAAAGAAGTTTACATTCTTTAAATGGTAAATATACTTCAGCAATTTTCCCTGATCTTTTTTCCTCATTTAAAAAATTAAGGTATCATCCATATACAGTGAAATACACAGATCTTAAGTGTAGAATTCAGTTTTGGCAGATACACATACCTGTAACCCACATGCCTATCAAGACATAGAACATCTGTATTGCCCCAGAAAGCTCCCTCATGCCCCTTCCTGATCAGTCTTGTCCCCAGGCAGCTACTGTTCTTATTTTTATCACCACAGATGAAGTTTTTCCTATTCTAGAACATCATATAACAGAGTCATATAGGACGTACTTTTGTGTCTCGTCTTTCACTCAGTATATTTTTGAGGCTCATCCAAGTTGCTGTGCAGTGGTTTGCTCCTTTATATTCTTGGGCATATTCCATTGTATGACTATCACCACAATTTGTTGATCCATACTCTTGGGCTGTTTCTAGTTTTAGCTGCTATGCATGTTCTTGTGCCAGTCTCTTTGTCAACATATATCCCACTTCTTTTGGCTAAATACCATGGAGTGAAATTTATGGGTCCTCTGGTAACTTTTTTGTCTGAGGAAGCCTGCCCCTGAGCTAACATCCGTGCCCATCTTCCTCTACTTTTATATGTGGGATGCCTACCACAGCATGGCTTGACAAGTGGTGCCACGTCCATACCCAGGATCTGAACCGGCGAACCCCGGGTCGCTGAGAAGCAGAACGCGCGATCTTAACCGCTGAGCCACCGGGCCAGCCCCGCTCTGGTTAACTTTTGACAGATTCTTTAATTTATATTTATCGAGTTTTAATTACAAACAGTGCTTGATACTCAGTTTTGTACATGTCTTCTTAGACTATTTCTATGAAGTCACATACAAATTTTATATACATATAGAAGTAAAAAGTATTGAGTATTTTTTTATAATATGTACTGTAGATATCTGCAACTTGCTTTTTTACACACACCATTTTAATGTTTCTATGGCGGTACACAGATCTTTGCCATGTGGACGTTTCATTGTTAATTAATTTTCATTTCCCTAACTACTAGTGAGATTGAGCATCTTTTTAAAAGTTTACTGGTCTTTTGGATCTGCTCTTATGTAAACTGCCTATTCACACCCTTCGTCCATTCATACCTTCTGCCCATTTTACAACTAGAAATTATTAGAAAGACAAACAACCTAAGAACTCTATGTGCATTATACATATTAATCCTTTATCTGTTTCTACATTATTTTCTAATCTCCCATTTGACTTCTGATATTTTTATATCTTATGCCATAATGGTCTTTTTTAGCATCTTTTTCTTGGCTGAGATTAAAATGCCATGCACTATGTATTTCTCTCTAAATTTTATTTTAAAGATTTTATCGCTTAATTTTTCACAATTAAGTTTTTAATCCAGCTGGAATTACTTTTATGTATGGTATAAAACAGGAGTCCAATTTAATTTTCTTCCAGATGTGGAGTTGACTGTGTCAGTGTTGTTTATTGAATAGTCATCCTCTACAAGTGTACTCAACTCGCACAAGAAGCTATTTCTGGGCTTTCTATCCTGTTTGTTAATGTTATTGTCTGTCCCTCTGCTGATACCACGTTTTGATTACAATGGCTTTAGAGTATGCTGCAATGCCTAACAAGATAAGTAACTTCTTTTTGTTTTTGACCATTCTTGGATACTTATTTCTTCCATGTAAACTTTGTTTATTTTGTCCAATTCCATAAAGATCTATAGAGATTCTAATTTGAATCACATTAAATATATATGTGAATTTTGGAAGAGTTAACATTTTATATTAACTGTCTTCATCCAAGAACACCGTAAGTTTTCTATTTGTTCAGATATTGTATTACCTCTTAGTTAGATTTTTTTAAATGTGGATCCTATGCCTTTCCTGTTAAGTTTACTAAGTATTTTATGGTTTTTGTCACTAAGATGAATGTAATATTACTTCCCATTATTATTTTCAAGATGGTAATTCATAGTAGAAAAACACTTTACTAAATTTCCTTATAAATTACTGTAGTTTTAAACCATTTTATTATGAAGTCGTATACACACAACAGATCGTATGTAGTACAGACTTAAGTTATGAAGCATATTAATAAAATGAACATATGTAAACCTAATACCCAATTTAATAAGAGAGAATATATCCATACTGCTGAAGGGCCCTCTGTTCTATTCCTTGATTCCATAATCCCCCTAGCCTCTTGCCCAAAAGCAATCACTAGTTTCAATCTTTTGCTTATTTTTATAGCTTTAGTACATATGTATATGCCCCTAAATTATTTATCATTTGGTTTGCTTATTTTTTTAGATTTATTATAAAATATCACACTGTATGTATTCTGCTGCAGCTTGCTTTTTTCACTCAACTTTATTTTTCTAATATTTATTCATGTTAATGTGACCATTCACTCAATCATTACAAAGGAACACTATTACATTGTATAAATATAGCCACAATTTATGTACCCATTCTGTTACTGATGGATATTTAGGTTGTTTCCTGATTTTTGCTCCTATTAACATTCTTATACATAATTCCTGCAAAAGTCTCTCTCAGTCACAAACACAGAGTAAAACAGCTGAATTCCACTGTTCCAAATCCTTGCCAACTCCTGGTTATACATTAAGATTTTTGTCACTTGGGTGGGGACAAATGGTATCCAAGTATGTGGTATTAATTTTCATTTCTTTGATTACTGATAAGGGTGAACAATGTTTCATATGATTATTAGCCACCTGTGTTTTCTGAGAAACGCCTATTCATATACTTTGCCAATTTTTTTTCTGTTGGGTTGAACTTTCCCTATTAATTTAGAAGATACTTATATGTCTTCAAACAAGTTTTTTTTGGTTAGATATGTTGCAAATATTTTTTATAGGTTTGAAGCTTATATTTTCACTTGTTTTATGTTATCTTTTGATGAACAGAAGTTATTTTTAATGAAGATTCATTAATCTTTTGTTAATGTTTGTGTGTGAGTTGTTTTAAGGAATCTTTTCCTATACCTGAAACCATTTAAGATTATATATTTTCACCTAAAAGTTATCAAATTTCATCTTTCACATTAATGCTTTTAAATGATGTCTGGAATGATTTTTGTGTACGGTGTGAGGAAGAAATCCAGTATTTTTTTCACATATAACTATTTATCCCAGCACCATGTACGAAGAGCCCTCCTTCCCCTAATCACCTGCCCTGTCATATCAGGTTCACGTGGTCATGGACCCGTTTCTGAGCTCTCTAATCTATTTCACTGGTCATTTTGTTTATCTCAATGCCAGTATCACACTATTTTAATTATCACAGCTTTAAATAAAACTTGATATCTCCTCACCTTATTCTTGTCTGGAATATTTTGGCTGTTCTTGGCCCTTTACTCTTCTATAAATTTTAGTATCAACTTGTCAGTTCTTCAAACAACCTGTTTGGGTTTTGATTGGAACTGCATTGTATCTATGGATCAATTGGGGGAAAAATAGTCATCTTTATAATACTGAGTTTCCATATCTATGGACATAGTATATTTCTCCATTTATGTGGATCTTCCTTAATGTCTTTCAAAAACATTTTAACATTTTTCCATAAATTTCCTGGACACCTTTTGTTAGATTTATTCACAGGTAGTATACTTGTTGATAATACAAATGGTATTTTAAAAATAATTACTAAACTCTTTATTGCTGATATAAAGAAATACAATTGATTTTTGAAAACTGATTTTATATCTAGCAACCTTATAAACTCATTACTTCTCTAATATTTTTTAAGTTCATTTGCTTTTTCTTTCTTAGGCAATCTATAAAAAACAGTAAGAGTTTTACTTCTTTCATTTAAATCCTTTTAATTTTTTTCCCTTTTTTTCCTTTTTTACTAAATTGGCAAGAATTTCTAGCACAATGTTGAAGAGAACTGGTTCTTTTTCAAGCTTTCAAATAAACAGTTTGTAAATGTAGATATTCTAAGCAGATGAATATATCTTTGCTAATAATAACAATTTTTCTTTTCCCAATTTTTTTTTTGGTGAGGAAGATTGGCCCTGAACTAACATGTCGCCAATCTTCCTCTTTTTGCTTTAGGAAGACTGTCGCTGAGCTAACATCTGTGCCAGTCTTCCTCTATTTTTTGTATATGGGACACCACCACAGCATGGCTTGATGAGTGGTGTGTAGGTCTGTGCCTGGGATCAGAACCTGCGAACCCCAGACAGCTGAAGAGGAGTGCACGAATTTAACCACTTTGCCACTGGGCCAGCCCATGTTTTTATCATTTTTTTTTTTAAAGATTTTATTTTTTTTCCTTTTTCTCCCCAAAGCCCCCAGGTACATAGTTGCATATTCTTAGTTGTGGGTCCTTCTAGTTGTGGCATGTGGGACACTGCCTCAGCGTGGTTTGATGAGCAGTGCCATGTCCGCACCCAGGATTCGAACTGACGAAACACTGGGCCGCCTGCAGCGGAGCGCGCGAACTTAACCACTCGGCCACGGGGCCAGCCCCTTGTTTTTATCATTTTTATAGTCTCTTGATCTTTGATGATTTTCAGTGACATCCTTTTTTTCTTTAAATATAGCAGGCGTACTTCTTTCCCTTTCTCCATTAGATAACTGAAGACTTTACAAAACTCGGTCATTTGTCTGCCCTTTCTGCTTGCTGACTCTTGTTCCTGAAAGGCAGTGTAGTATTATCTAAGACTTCGGACTCTGAAATCTGGACCTGTGAGTTTAAACCCTACCTCTACCACTTGCTATACAATGCAACCTTGGGCAAGTACCTTAACCTCTCTAGGCCTCAGTTTCCTCATCTCAAAAAAAAAAAAGAAATAGTATTGTGAAAATTACGTAAATGCTTGGCACATATTATGCAGCCCTAATTCCTTGGGTAGCCTGTGATTTTTTCAATTTGTATTTGTTAGAACTCAATGTACAAGAATTCATTAAAGCCTGTGTTGAGATTGCTTTCTTTTAAGCAATTGGGGGCGCTATGGACCCAGACCCATTTTTAAACTACAATTCTCAGTTTATGGGTGTAGCACTTTTTGGGTTTTGACCTCATGAAGAATCATCTCTGATCTAGTTCCCCAGCCTGCATAGGCCCCAGGCTCTGTCCCTAGTCCCCTCTGCATACCAAAGCCATACCAAGCACAAAGATCTGAATTTATCTCTGGGAGATCTAGGGGCTGCTTCAGTGCTTATTAACCTCCTGATCTTGTGCTTCTGGTTCCTCCATAAACTCAAGAGATTCTCTTACCTCCCTGCGGGCTCATCCAATCATTTAAAAGGAGGTTTTTATATTTCATCAAGCTTTCAAAAATATTATGTAGCTGAGGTCATATTCTCAGAAAGAGAAGTCTCATTCAAGTAATTTTTTAGAAGACTTTTGGGTTTCCTAAGTACACAAACATATCATCAGCGAAGAAAGACAATTCTTCTTTTCTAATATTTACGTAACTTATTTCATTTCCTTATCTTACTGTGTTTGTTGGAACCTCTAAAACAACACAATCCCTGCCTTGTTATCAAGTTCATTTACATTGATGCTCGCTCTTAATTTTTAGTAAAGAAACATTTTATCTTGAAGTAATTAAATGCATCCATCTGGTCCTTTTATGGTAATTTTTATTGCTGTAGAAGATTATCCTTTTATTCTAATTTTCTAACATTGGTGAGGAGCAGAAAATAGAATCCTAATGTAATTTTTAAAAATTTGTTGTATCTGTGGCTATTTATCCTTTTTTGTTCCTATTAGTTTACTGGTGTCTTTTCTCTTTTTTTCCCCCTGAACACTTTGCAGAGGCAAAAGCGTTATATTCTTTTTCTCAAAGAACCAGTGGTTTTTCATGCCTGATGTAAGAATAGTGCATATAGCAATGTTTAAAATACATTTAACATGAAAGTAAATGTTTCTGGGGGTTAAATTACTGCTGTGTTTTCATAATCAAAATTTATTTTTAAGAGCATTTGTGTGTCAGTAAGTATAGTAGGTATTATGCAGAATTCCATTAATTCTTTGCTCTTTTTGCTATAGTCAACGGCAAGCAGCAAATTATTTTTATTTGACTTTGTCAACCCAACAAGAACAAAGTATCTTGTTTGAAAAGCTTTGGTTAACAGTGCTATTCAAAGCACACAATAAAAATGGAAGCACTTTAGGTTATATATTAACTGAAGAGATTGAGCAATGGGACTCACTGACCCACTGGAAATGAACTAGACATAATCTAACACTCAGTAAAATAAAGTTGATATAAACCTCTCCCCTCATTTCTAATATACAATTCCAGTTAACATCTGATTATGTTTCAAGATTTGCAAAAACGTTATCCATTCTGGCAGTATAATTTTACTACCTACCTGTTTTTCATCAACCTTATTTCTCTTTTCAATTGGGGGTCATCTGTCTTAGTTGTCTGAGATGTAAGAGTCACAGGAGATGTCATCACCACAGTTTGTGGCAGTGAAGTAGCTGAAGGTGTGGTACGGATCTGATATGTCTGCATATCACCTGATGCAGCTGTGTGGTCAGAAGAATGAATTAATTCATAAGTGTCTTTGAAAGAACTTTGAGATGCTTTCCATAGACACTTACGCATACTTACTTTGTACAACCACCTGGTTGCTGGGCACAAGTATTTGCTGTCCATCAGAGGTCTGTGCATACTGGAGAATTGTTGTACCTTGCTGAGTACTGCCTGAATTTGTCATGGTTAATGTCTGAAGTCCCTGTACTCCATCTGTGCCTGGACTGGCCAGCTGTAAGGCTCCATTTGGGGCAATGGCAACTTTAACCAAAGAGAGAACATAGCTATTGTAAGGCTATACAATACACTAATTGCAAAGGATTGGTGAAAAAAACAAACACTACTTATTAAAACAGGTTTGAAAGTAGTTCCACTTGATAACTATTGACTACCTTGGGTAAAGTATATGTAAAAGAAATAAAACAGCATTTCTTAATAAAATTTTATAGTTCAGATGCACTAATCTTAAATTTAGACTCAAATTGTCCAATACAACTGATTGGTCAAAACACATTTTGGGCTCTATGGAGCACTCCATGCTAATTGATAATGCTGTCACAGAAGTTCTGGGGGCGTTAGAAGAGGGGACCAATGGCTAACTTTTAAAGGAAAAATAAGTAGAAGGAAACATTAACATAGTTTGTAATTTTTGTTCAAACGAAGCATTAAAAAGATTGTAACTTAAGAACATTTTTGAATAGACAAGTGTGCCTATGGGAAAAAATTCAAATAGGATGAAAGGTTACATAATGAAAAAATAAATCTTCATACTGTTTCTTAGCTCCTCTCTAGTGGTAACCACTGTTAAACATATTAAATGTTATTTACTTAAGTCATATTTTAAAAATGTAATCTATTATCACCAATAAAGTTAAGTCATCAGAAAGCCACTATATAGATCACATTACTAAGCTCCTCACATGCATTTTTTACTGAATTATACTTATGTTAATGCTTTCCCCTCAAACCTTAAATGAAACACCCATAAGGCATGATCAAATAGAAAACATTTTAGCGTTATGCAATTCCCACATAATAAATCTCCTTTAGAATCTAATGTCTCATCTCTGTACTTTCTTTTCAGATTATAATTATGCAACATTTGTTTTTCCTGTTATGCTTTGGCTACCAGGAAGCCAAAATATACTTTGTGTGTGTGTTTTAATTGAAAATAGCTTTTTCAGGAGTTTCTAATTATCCCTCCCCAACTATAACACAACAAATATTCCACGTACTTTAATTTATATGACTTTAGAAGACATTAAAATTTTTTAGATGCAGAGATTTGTTTTAAACTTATATTAGCAATCGCTTTCGATCTCCTTTCCTGCAATACACATATATATTTATAGAAGTAAAAAGTCCCATTATCTATCCCTATTTATTCCACTGGCCACTTCCCACTCCATTCTTCCTAACCCTTTCATATGCTCATATAGACTGATATATTAATATATATCAAAATGTGTATCTAAACACACATATGTATAAATATACATCTTTTGATGTTAAGTATATGTGATAATACAGAACCATTTTCATTGTTGCAACATATCTTCCTGTTCTTACTTAACATGTGTATTTACCTGGTTGAATTTACTCTAAAGTTGCACTGTCTGATATGGTAACCATTAGCCACAAATGGTTATTTAACTAAAATTAAACAAAATAAAAAATTAAGTTCCTCAGTCTCACCAGACACATTTCAAGTGCTCAACAAGTCACACACAGCTTAGTGGCTACCGTACTGGACCATGCAGACGTAGAACATGTCCGTCATCAGGGAAGTTCTATTGGATCATGCTGCCCTAAATACTACCTTGCGTTGCACTTACTTCAATTATAACATGAAATATTAGCCTAAGTTTCTATGTAGTTTTCATAATTCTAATTTTTAAGGGTTTTAGAATAATAATATAGATTAATATATCATAAATAATTTTTAACTTGCAAATATGCTGCCTTAAAATTTTTTTTAGAAATTAATTTTTTTGCATATGGTAAAAAAAAAAATTGTATTGTTTAAAATGAAAGTAAACCTCCCAACTGCCTCTGATCTCTGCTCCCAAATTTCCTTCCTTGCAACCACTGTTACTGGTTTCTTATGTGTCCTCACAGAGGTATTTTATATATATTCTTTAAGTCATTCATTCACAACAAATTTTACTGAAAGCCTATTATGTGACAGGCCCTGTGTGCCAAGGATACAGCTGTGAACAAGACAAAGCTGTTTCCATCAAAGAACTTACATTCCTTGAGAAGAGATCATAAATAAGCCAGTCTACATTACGTATAATCTATAATTAAGCTAATATGGATTCTTTTGGTAATTATAAATAAATGCTATAAAAATATAAGAAATGAAAGAAAACTAAAGGGAGAAGCAACATATTTTAAAAGGAGTAGTCTCTTTGAGGAGGTGACACAAGCATAGCATAGCAGAAGTGAGGATGCAAGCCCCGGGAGAAGAACATGTCAGGCGATGGGGATAACTCCAACGATCTGGAAACAAGCTTCACATGTTTGAAGAACAGCAAGAAAGTCTGTGTGGCCAGAATGCCATCAAGGGGCAGATGAGATGAGATCAGAGTGGTAGGCAAGGCCAGATCCTGAATGTAATGCCTTGCGTGTGATGGAAAAGTCACTGGAGGATTTTGAGCAAGAGTGGTGTGATCTAATTGACATTTAAATAAATTGCCTTGGTGGCAGTATGGAAACCTATGAGAGCAAGAACGGAAGCAAGACGACCAGTTGGACCCTTCTGCAATAATTCAGATGAGAGTGTAGACCAAGGTGTTGCGATGACTGGAGATGGCGAGAGGCAGTCAGACGGGACATGGATTTTGTGGCAAGAGCCAGTCAGACTTCAAGAACAGGGATTAGGAGCGGCAGGAGAGATTCTCTACAAATGGACAGCACCAAGTGATTCTTGGGGTGATGGGATTACATCTTGATTGTGGTGGTGGTTAGACAACTCCATGTATTTGTCAAAACTCATAGACTTATAGCTGAAATTAAGTGTAATCATTGATAAGCTCTGTATCACTTACAAGCTGTGTGACTTTAGGGACATTATCTAACTCTCTAAGCCTCAGTTCCCTCATAAATAGGTAACTGCCTAACTCACAAAGTTGTTGTAAGGAGTAAATGAGATAATGCTAAAAAAGTATTTTACATTACTTCTGGCTCAAAATGTTATCCTTTAGTAATCACCACTATTAAAGTACGACAGTCCTTCTACGCACCACTTCTTTACACGAAGTTAGTTTTTGTATGTCTATAATGTGGAAATTTATTCCTATACGTACTGTACTGTCCGGTGCTAGTCTGATAGATGGGAGTTGGAACAGACATAGAAGTGACAGCCGAAACTCCAGGGTTTTCTCCGTCTCCTTTTCTGCCCCGTGTGTCTTCAGAAGATAGGTCTTTTAAAATTTTTCTGTGAAAAACAGAACTCTATTAATGTTGGTAATGAGAACAGCTTTACAAAAAGAAATTGCTAAACCTTTTTCAATCTCAGGTTAAAAGTACAATAAGCTACTAGACACCTCAATTGTTGTGTCAAGGAATCATTTTGTTTAGCAAATCCTATTATAATGAAGTACTGTAGGCAAATATATTTTAGTTTATGGCTACCTGAAAAGAAAAACTGAACAAATACTCATACAGAGTAGCTTTCAACGTACAAGGCCCTTGGAGAGATATGAAATGTCTCTTCCCCCTACAAGAGAGAGGGCTCCGTTGTGAGGTATTTCATTAATTAACAAGGTACTATTCATTTTCTAAATAGTGTTAGTGACCTTCATTTAGAAAGATCAAATTTAATTTTTCAACCTACAACCTTAGAGTGGAAGAGAAACTCATAGTTCTCAGGAAGAAACAATGAGATTAGAAATACTACTACAAAATGCAGAGAGTATCAGTGATAAATAAAACTGCTTATTTTAACACGAAGTAAATATATCCCACAGGCATCCCTCAGACTTGGTAAATGGGGCTCATGACGGGAATAAGAGGATGGAAAAAGATTGCTTGCTGAGAAGAAGGGTCTTCCAAAACACAGTGGGAGTGAAGGAAGAAATAAGCATTTTTTGTTTCTAGGGGGGAGAAAAAAGAAAAAAAGAAATGCTTACTCAAGAATTCCATGTTCATTGTAGAAAAATCAGAAACACTGAAATACTTATGTGAAAACAACAACACAAGAATCACAAAGGAAAAAAACCCTTTAGCATGAAAAGGGATCTTTTGTGTTATCTGTATCAATCTTCTAGCCAATGCAGGAATTCCCTCTCTAACACTCCTAACAGCCCCTACTTCTAGGAATAAGGCATCTCCAATCTCCAAAAAGCAAACCATTCAATTACTGAACAGGTAGAGCCCTTCCTTATTCAGACGCAAAGCTGGTTCCACCCAGTGAAGCTAGAGAAATTTAAGCTTAACCCTGATTCTGTATCCATGCCCTACTTTGCAATATTTGACAATTGCTACAGGTCTTCTGTATTCGAGGCCAAATAATTTTAGTTCAGTAAATAGTTTTAGTTTAGTTCTTACACTTGCAGACTGTATTAACCTAAGTTCCACCTAGAGAATAAAGGAGGTGGCAGTCCCATAGGACTCTGTGTTAGGCATTTGTAGAAGAGTCACAGTGGTTCCTAAACCTGCTTATGTACTAGAATCATCTGGAGAGGTTTATCGAATCCAGATAGGTGAGCCGGTGAGGAGAGAGCTCCAGAATCCTCTTAACAAGCTGTCTACACGGTCTTAATGCAGCCAGCCAAGCATGAGACTATGGAATGCTGTGCCCATTTCTTTTTCAATTTTTAGTTATGAAACATTTTGAGCATAAAGAAAAACACAGAAAATAAAATATCTATAAACCATATACCAGGAATCAACAGATGCTAATATTTTGCCATATTTGCTTCAGAGATCTTTTTTTTTAATTAAGATTACGATAGTTTACAACCTTGTGAAATTTCAGTTGTACATTATTGTCAGTCGTATTGTAGGTGCACCACTTCACCCTTTGTGCCCTCCCCCGACCTCCCCTTTCCCCTGGTAACCACCAATCAGTTCTCTTTGTCTACATGTTTAACTTCCACCTATGAGTGGAATTATACAGAGTTCGTCAGACATCTTATTTTTAATAGGAATTAAGTTACAGATATACCAAAATGTCACCACCCAATCCTTTTCCTTTCTCTTCTCCCTCCTCAAAGAGTACCATTATCTAAAAGTGTTGCATATCATTCCCATATGTATTACTTTATTTTTTACTACAGAGCATTTAGAGATAATATTTACCATTGATTTGTGTTCTTCCTCATCCTCCTGACTCAACCTTGGAGAGAGCCTTAGGGAGCCGTTTTTGGGACTTCTCTATCTATATTTTTTCTGGTGATCTCATCTGTCCCATGGTATACTGATGATCCTTCAAATGATATTTCCCCAACCTCTCTCCTGACTCCTAAATCCAATTGTGTATTGAATACTTCCATTTAATAGGCACCTCAAACTTAACAGATCCAAAATCTAATGTCAGATATCCTTCTACTCCTGGCAGTCTTCCCTATTTCAGTAAATATCAACTCCATTCTCCAAAAATTTTGGAATCAATCTCTCTTTCTCATAACCTGTATCCAATTCATAAGCAAATCTGTCTTTATCTTAAAAATAGATCCAGAATCTTACTCACGCTCATTCCCTCCACTGCTGCACCCGAGTCCGTGCTACCAGCAACTCTTGACCGTACAGCCTCAGTCGCCTCTACAGGTCCTCCTGTAGCTACCCTTCCCTTGCTACAGTCTACTCTCCACAGAGCACCAGTCACCTTTTTAAAATGTCAGATAAATCACTCGTCTGCAGTGGCTCCCTATCTCGGAATAAATGGCATGGCCTACAAGGCTATAACTTGTCCCCTATGACCTCTTCAACCTCAAGTTCAACCTCTTTTTATATTAATTTTTTCTCCCCCCAACTTATTATAGGATTATCAATTTTATTGATTTTTTCAAAGAACCAGCTTTCAGTTATACTGATTATCTCTATTAGTTTTCTCTTTTTAAGTTCATTGACTTCTGCTCTTCATCTCTATTATTTCCTTTCTCCTGCTTGCTTTGAGCTTATTTTACTTTTCCCCCCATAGTTTCTTAAAGTGGAAGCTTAGATTATTGAGACTTTTCTTCTTTTATAATATAAACATTTAATGCTATAAATTTTCCTTTAATTATTTCCCACCGACTTAATTACATCCCAGAAATTTTGTTATTTTGTATTTTCATTTTCATTCAGTTAAAAATATTTTCTAGGGGCTGGTCCAGTGGCACAGCAGTTAAGTGCGCACTTTCCGCTTCGGCGGCCCGGGGTTCGCTGGTTTGGATCCCAGGTGCGGTCATGGCACCTCTTGGCAAGCCACGGTGTGGCAGGCATCCCACATATAAAAAGTAGAGGAAGATGGGCAGGGTTAGCTCAGGGCTAATTTTCCTCAAAAAAAAAAATTTTTTTCTAGCACAACCAGAGACACTCACAACTAGAATAGACAACTATATACTGGGGGTCTTTGGGGAGAAGAAAAAAAAAAAGATTAGCAACTGTTGTTAGCTCAGGTGCCAATCTTAAAAAAAAAAAAAAATCCTTTAAAAAATATATATTTTCTAATTTCTATTAAGATTTCCAGTTTGGTCTATGGATTATTTCTAAGTGTGATGTTTAATTTCCACATGTTTGAAGATTTTCCTGTTGTCCTTCTGTCATTGGTTTTTATTAGTCTAATTGTTGGTTTTATTACTTATTGCTTTTTATTAGTTTACTGGTTTTATTAGTCCAATTCAAATGTGATCAGAGAACATACTTTGCATGATTTCAATTCTAAATTTGTTAAGGTTTGTTATGACCCAGGAGGTGTCTTTCTTAGTGGTTGTTCTTTGTGCACATGGGTGAAGCGTTCTAAAAATGTCAACTAGATCTCGCTGGTTGATGGTATTGTTCAGTTCTTTTGTAATCTTGCTGATTTTCTGACTACAAGTTCTGTTGTATACTGAGGCAGGTGTACTGAAATCTTCAATTGTAACTGTAGATTTGTTGATTTTGCTTTTCAGTTCTCTTACTTTTTGAGACATGTATTTTGAAGCTCTGTTATTAGGTACATACACATTTAGGATTGTTATAGCTTCTTGGTGAACTGACCCCCTTATCTCTGGTAAATTTTATTTGACCTGAAGTCTATTTTGTATGATATTAATATAGTCACTTCAGTTTTTATTATATTTCTATTTCTCTTGGGTATGGAAGTAGGGGCTCTTAAGGTAAATATGTTCAGCATTTTGAAGAACTGCCAGACTGTTTCCACAGCGACTGTCCCATTTTACATTCTCATTAGCAATGTGTGAGGGTTCTAATTTCTCAACATCCTTACCAACTATGTCTTCTTTGATTTTAGGCATCCTAGTGGGTCTGAAGTGGTATCAAGGTTTTGATTTGCATTTACCTAATGATAAATGATGGTGAATATTTTTCATATACTTACTGATCCTTTGTATATCTTCTTTGGAGAATTGTTTATTCAAATCCTTTCCACATTGTTTAATTGGGTTATTTGTCTTCATATGTAGTCTTCTGGTTGATTAATGTGGGATGTCTTTTCATTTATTTATATCTTTTAAAATTTCTTCCAACAAGGTTTTGTAGTTTTCAATGTACAAACTACAGGCACTTGAGCCACAGTCTGTCCTATATATAGTTCAGTTCTCAAAGTCTAGGTATGCTAGGAAAGCCCATTTTTATTCCTTATTTGCTAAAAATTTATGAATGGGTGCTGAATTTTATCAAATACTTTTTCTGAATTTATTGAGTCGATTATATATTGTTTCTGCTGATTCTCACTTATGGTTGTTTATTTCCTTGTACTTTTGATGATTTCTGACTATGAATTTACATTTGGTTGATCCTAATCTCTAGTAGTCCAGAAAGCTTACTTGGGGAAGCTTCCTTTCAGATGTTCTAGCCTCCTGCAGTAATCCCAGCTTAGTACAGAAATCTCAGGTTCAGAGGTTTTCATGCTTGCTTCTGCTTATCATTCTGGTTTCAGCTCAGGTATCTGTATTATATGGTTTTTATGTTTTCAGGGGAGTGATAAGAGATTTCTATTATTTCCTATAAATGCACAACACATTAACAAGTATTTTATCCACGAACTAACTCTTTTGCGCTGGGAGAGTCCAACCATTTGGAAATTAAACCTTCTATTTGTATTCTTTTGGTGATTGCCCCCAACAGTCTAAGGCAAGTCTAAAGGTAATCAATACAAGACTGCAATAGGCCATTCTTGTCTTACATGTTTCTGCCTGGAACATTTCTTTCCATTTTGTTTCTAAACTAGCCAAATTCATCATTATCATTGTTCTAAAAAAGTCAATGGTAACTTATATGAATATCTTAGTTCACCATTCTTTCTTACATTCACATTCTTTCCATTTAGTTTCATTTTCTTCTTCCTGAAGAATACATTCTAGTAATTTCTTAAATCAGTTTGAAATGATTTTTATTTCACCATTGTTTTTGAGTGACTGTTTGCGTGGGTATAGAATTCCAGGCCAACAGTTACTTTCTGTTGGCACTTAAAGATTTTAGTTCATTGTCTTCTAACGTTATCATTCAAAAATCTGTTGTCAGTGTAATGATCACTTCTTTCTAGGTAATTTGTCTTTTCTCCTTGGAAACTTTTAAGATCTTATTTTTATCTTTGATGTTCTCCAATTTTAGTTCATAAGAAACATGTAGATATAGGTTTATATTAATTTATCTTTTTGAGGACTCTGTTTTCTAAAGCTGAGAAATTCATGTCTTAGAAATTTCTGTCATTACCTTTTCTCTCCTAGAGAGAAAAGCAGCTGGAAGTGCTCTTCCACATTCTCTCCTTTTGGAAGTATTATTAGATGTATGTTGTATGTTGGACCTTCTCACTCTACCTTCCATGTCTCTTAACTTCTCTTGATCTTTCTGTGATCCATTCTAGGTTAATTTACTCAGAGCTGTTATCTTCCAGTTCCCTAATTCTCTCTTAAGTTATATCTAGTCTGCTTAAAATTTATTTAAAATTCCTCAATAGACTTTAGCAATTATACTTTTCATTTCCAGTAGTTTTACTCAGTTATTTTTTAAATCCCCCCTAATCTCTTATCCTAGTGTTAGGGTTTTGATTCCTTCTTTATATCTTTAATAATTCAAATTATACTTATATTCCCTGATAATTTTATTATCTGAAGTTCTTTAGGGGTTTAATTCTGTTTATTGTATCTGCTGATGCTTGCTAACAATGGACTACTTCTTTCAGCTTTTAGCAGTTTCAGATTATCTTTTTAGTAGGGTTTATTTTTACCCCAAAAAATTCACAGACAAAATTCTGTCTGTTCATTAATTATTTATTCAATAGAGTCCAAATTGCTTAACATGGTGACAAGGTTCTAAGTGATCTGCCTCCTCTTTACCTTTTCTGGCTAAACCTCCTCTTCCTCCCTGCACTTTAAGTTCCCAGTTCCCAGAACAGGCCAACCTCCTTCCTATCATACAGTCCACCTTTGATTACACAGTTCCCTCAGCATAAGCAGCTCTTTTCCTTCCCTACAAAACCCTTTCCTGCCCTTGTTTCACAAAATTTATCAGGTTGGTGGTAATCCAAATCACATTTTTTTTTCTTAAAGACTTTATTTTTCCTTTTTCTCCCCCAAGCCCCCTGGTACATAGTTGTATATTCTTAGTTGTGGGTCCTTCTAGTTGTGGCATGTGGGATGCCACCTCAGCATGGTTTGATGAGCGGTGCCATGTCCGCGTCCAGGATCTGAACTGGTGAAACCCTGGGCCACCAAAGCAAAGCGCGTGAACTTAACCACTCGGTCACAGGGCCGGCCCCCCAAATCACATCTTTTAAGAATTCTTTCCTACTTATTCCTACTTATATACAGGCAGGAATGACTATACCCTACCCATAGTTCTCTCCTAACATCTTAAAATCTTACTACATTTGTTTGTATGTTTCAAAGATACCATTTCATCTTACCATCTAGTCACCAGGTTTGGTCAATTCTACCACAGAAGTCTCTCAACTCTACCCATACCAAAGATATCCCACTACCCACATGAAATCACTCATATTATTTCAACAGCTTTTTGTCAATTAGTTGTACTACTTCCAGCTCTCCACTGAACAATTATTGAGCAGCTACTTTTGTATGGTCGCTCTGCTAGTCCCTGGGATTACAAAAAATAATACGTGGACCATACCCTTAAGTAAACTAGAATTCCAACAGGATGACATAAGTACTGTAACAGGGGTCAGTAAAAGGCTGCTATGGAAGAAAGACCTAACCTGGTCTTGGCAAGTTGGAGAAAAGGTAATCAGAGGCGGCTTCCAGGAGGAAGTGAGGCCTAAAGTATGTGCAGGAATTATGCAGAACGTAGAAGAATGGGTTTTAGCAAAGGGACAGACAAAGGCCCAGAGTTAAGAAGCTAAGAAAGGGAACACAAAGTAATTCAATTTCTAAAAATTATGGTCCTTCTTTCATATTGCTATTCGAGTTAACTATCTAGAAGTAAATAGGGAAATGTAATACTTTGCCAGAAGATAAGTCTAAATTTCTCTTCAGCATAGCAACTTGGGCCCTACACATAATCTGGCTCAAATCTCTCTCTGTTAACAATTCCCTTTGTATACAAACACATGCTCCCTCTTTATATAGTTTGCTGTGCACAGCAGCATTCAAACTCATTTGGTAACACATCCAGAGTTTGACACAAGAGTACTCACCTGTAAGATGGGCGCCGTGCTAGAATCCCGTGGGCTTTCTGTGAGGAGCCTATACTGTCAGATGAGTCCTGCGACTCCTCACTTTCTGATAAAGATGATACCTGAAAAACAGAACTGGTTTTACTATGAGGAACAATGCAGGTAGAAAAAGAATCCAATTTAATTTTTGATTTCAGAAAAAATGATCTGTCTCCTGCCACCCAAATTTGTTAGTTAATAAATCTAAGGTCTAAAAGAAAGGAACAAAAGGAAAAAGGAGAAAGTTTATTTCAGGATCCAAAACTAATTAAAGGAACATACAATACAGCAGGCTGAGACCTAAGAAGAAAGTCTATCCCCAAAACAGAGCACGACTACTTCACTAGAGTTGTAAAGACCAGTCTCTGATCTCTACCCTATTTCTATACTGATGCACATTACTCTAAGTTTTTGTTTTCGCTTTTTTTTTTATCATTAATGCTATCTGATTTGGATTTTAGACATGCTAACTTTGAAATGCTATTAGATCACCACCTAACATCTAATTATTAGATAATGACATTGAGGAAACTGCTGAATATAGAAGCCTGTGAGTCAGGGAAGAGGTCTGGGCTAGACATAGAAATTTGGGAGTCAGAGCTCTTTAGATAGCCCTTGAAGCCAAAAGACTGGATGAGCTCAATAAGGGGATAAATATAGAGATGATCAAGGACAAAACCCAGGAACACTCAAACATTAAGAGGTTGGGAAGAACCAGCAAATGAGACCAAGAACAAGCTACCAGTGAGGCAGGAGGAATAACAAAGAGGTGTCTTTGGAAAACTAGCAAAAACAGTATATTGAGGAGAAAAGAATGATCAGCGATGTCAAATGCTGCTAATGGGAAAAGCAAAACAAGGACTAGGAACAGACCAAGATAGAGGTCACCGGGAAGGGCAAGTATGAACATATGCAATTTAAAAATCTGAAATAATTAGCTTTGTCTCACTTCACACTTAATGAGTTAACACATGTAAAGCATTTAGTGCATGACACATGGCGAGCACACATTAAATGTTAACTATTATTAATAAACTCTTTAAAACTACATCAACACAATAACCATATGCAAGTTTTAAGTTATAATAATATCTTACAATTGAGAAAACAAGTTATTTTCAATTTTTAAAATGTATTAAATTTCCCAACATTTGCCCAAAGTTGCATTTCACACCTGACTTCATCCTCATTTTAAAAAATAAAATAATCCAAACAGGTTTCCAGAAAGGACATAATCAATTCTCTACATTCCTTAATCTCTACAGAAAGCCTTTACCTAATTTGTTTAGATTTAGATCTTAAATTTCCAGAAGAGTTTGTTTTACTTTCTATAATCTCTTTCAAACACAAGTTCTAGGGTACAACTACTTATTTATATCTTGTATTAAATGTATATCTTTTGATAGAAAATAAAGAACTGGCCACACATATACTAATAAAGAAATAATAACAGTAATGAATAATAACTTAAAGTAATAAGAAAAATAAGCGACTTTTATGTTTCCTCAAGTATCATGGATATACCATTTCTAATCTAAATCTTTCACTATTTTCAGTGTTTCTCCCTAAATTGAACTCAAGAAGAAAATAATTTCTAAAACTAAGAGATTACTGGTAACTAAGATCAAGTATTTCTCTTTAATGACAGCACTAGCAACTAAGAGTAAAATCTTCACAGAAAAACTCGAAAATCCATGCAGCAGCCACCTTTCATATAGAAAACCACATAAGGATGCAGCTCTAGCGCTGACAACACTGCCAGGTACTGTAGATTCAGGAGGAAAAAACGAGGTATACAGCTTTTCTCCAGGATAGCTGATTTGAAAAATGAGAGATAACCAGAGGCGTTCTGAGACTCCCAGGAGCCAGACGACAAAATGGGGAGAAAGAGTAGAAAGAAAAAGAACCCAGGATGGCTCTTTCCTTCCTACTGTTGTCAGGTGTCAATATGAAGCTAGAGAGATATAAATGAGACTTTCCTCTACTATGAGAGAACTCTCTTTTATTTGACCTCCATATGCTCACATCACCCTTGCTTCAGAATTCTCTTTTTTCATGAAGGTATCTGGGATAAAAAAGTGCTTTCTCTTAAGAAAGCCATTCATTCTTCAAATTCTAAAACTTGCCCCAAAATTGTCTTGTATTTTCACTGGGTAGTATATACATACATGAAACTAGAAATTCTAAAACTTTTCTATTTGCCTCATTTTTTTCTATAGTCTAATTTCTAAGACAACTTTATTATCTTGGTTTATAATATTCTAAGTACAGCAACTTCCATGTGTCCAAAGACTCAGGGTATAAAAGTCCCCTCTCTCAACCACTAAGTCTTTGAATTTCTGTACCGTTTGCACGTGTGGTGGGTGAATTACAGAAGACTGAGCTGTCTGGATGACCCCCTGAACCTGTACTTGCTCTCCAGGAAGAGGTACAATTGTCACTGGCGCAGATCCTCTTAATGACATCTAAGAACAAATAAAAATTCAATTAACAAAATACATATTGTACCTATGCACATAAGATAGCTGAGTTCTTAACACTGGAAAACACATTTTAGAGCTTATTATATTTAACCACATCTATTAACCAAACATTACATGTCTTCTATGGGCCAGAGACTGCACAGGAGATTGAGAGTACAAACTAATTATGACAAACAGAGTATGAGATATAATATCAGAGGAAAAGTAGAAAGTACTGTACCGTGGGAGCAAAGGAAGGGTGCTACTTCAGCTGGGTCTCTAACGATAAACAATTCCCTGAAGGTGTGTATGGGGGAGGGGGTTGGAAGGTATTTGGGGTAGAGGAATTGACTGTACAAAAACGTGGAGGCTCTTTAGAACATGCTATTCTGAAGAGATCTGGTTAAAAACCAATCAAATCAAAACTCAAAAAGTGAGAGAAATACCAACTTTGGGCAGTGTCTTTAAAGAAAAATTAAATATCCCAAGTAACTAATTGAATCATGAAATTATTATTTATTTCTCGAAATACCACAATAAAATGCTACATCAAGAAAAGCCCACCCATCATCCTTCAAGGCTCAGCTCAGGTTCTGCCTCTTACAATAAGTTTTCTTAGATATTTTCAGTTAACAGAGATCTCTCACCTTCCTCTGGACTACTCTGGTTCATACCATTCATCTTGGACTTAAATCACAAAACAAAATCCAAGGCTGCTTCTCAGGTCCCGAAAGTCACCTTCCTGACTGCTCCCCTCTTTGCTTTCTTTGTGTTGGGCCCCAAAACAATGTCTTATTCCCTTTCACTGAAGGTTCTTTTCCCCCTCCCAAGATTGGATTAAATTCCAGTCTCATCATCCCCCAAAATGCCCAGGTCATGAAATTCTGTATATAAAATCTTATCCAGGTACTGAGAACTGCAAACTCTCAGCACAAACAACTCCATCCCATCCCCCAACCCCACCAGACATGACCCAACTCCAGCACAGCTTCTATCAGCTCAAGGCCATGTCCCAGGATGACCCTCGCCCCCTTAGAATGCCTGCCTGAGAAAGATCAATGCTGCCAAAATAATTTACTGTTTGTTACAGCCCAACCTTGACTACAGCCCCCTGACCTCACTTTCCTTAGAGCATTTACTTTAGAAAACTTGCAATTGCAAATCCTTTCTCTGACCCTAAATCTTCTACAACCCAGAAATGTCTTTCTCAAGGACCTGGGAGCCATCCCTCTGAAATGTAATCATCAAGGATAAGGGCCCTGTCTCCCTGTCTCTGTGGGAGGGTAGGAGCCTAACTTTGATAAGCACCAATTAGCAAACAGATGGCTTAATCACAGGGACCAACCTCCCCACCTAACATCTTCAGCACTTTTCCTTTAGCACACCTCAGCCTTCAAAAAGGCTCCCACCTTTTGTTTCAGCAGAACTGAACTCAATCTACACTGGAGTCTCTCTTTCCTACTCCATTAGTCTGAATGAAATCCATCATGCTGCCTTTAACAAATGTCTGGCTCTGTTTCTCTTTGACATTATCCCAATACAAGGATACAGAAATTAAAGAGTAAAAAGAAACAGGATGCACAGATCTTAAGGGTCCAGCTCTAGAGTTACCATTACCCTCAGAGAAAATAAATGACACAACTAGAAGGACGTGCAACTAAGATATACAACTACGTATGGGGGGTTTGGGAAGATAAAGCAGAAAAAAAATTAAAAAAAAAAAAAAGAAGCTTGGCAACAGTTGTTAGCTCAGGTGCCAATCTTTAAAAAAAAAAAAAAGAAAAGAAAAGAAAAGAAATGAAAGGTCCCCTTACTTTTCAGACCCCAACAGAAGCCAATCACTCAACTAATTGGGAGAGTTGGAGATGGGGTTAAATTACATTTTTAAAAGGATAAAAACAATCATTCTTCCGGGGTTTCTGGCAATCCTTATGATTTTGTGCAGACTGTGGGACTGGCAGACAGAAAGGAAAAAAGGCAGCAGATTTTGTTTTAGCTAGGAGTAGTCCTTCCCCTTAAAACGCTCAGTACTCAGGGTCCCAAAGCCTGATGTCTTCCAACTCCCACTCTCAAACTTAAACATCTAAATCTTGAGATCGTTCTCAAAGGAGGAGGAGCTGGTCCCCCAATTTTAACCTGAGTTTGAAAGACAGATGACTGCCTCCACCCATTACTTTTCAGTGCTAACAGGGCTTTCTGCAATGATGGAAATGTTCTACATCTGCACTATCCATTATGGTAGTCACTAGCCACATGTGAGTATCAAACATTTGAAATGTAGCTAGTGTGACTGAGGAATTGATTTTTAATTTTATTTAATTTTAAGTAACTTAAAATTGAAATATCCACTTGTGGCTAGTGACTACCATATTGAACGGCACAGTTCCAGATCTTAGAACTATAAAACCTATTAGTATACTATGGCTCCAATCTCAGAAACTCTTTTAGGAGAAGTTAGAAGCAGAAAGGGGCTGGCCGGTGGTGTGGTGGTGAAGTTCGGGTGCTCAACCCTGGTGGCCTGGACTTCGCCAGTTCGGATCCCAGGCGCAGACATACTCACTGCTTATCAAGCCATGCTGTGGCAGGTGTCCCATATATAAAGTAGAGGAAGATGGGCACAGACGTTAGCTCAGGGTCAATCTTCCTCAGCAAAAAACCCCCAAGAACTAGAAAGACATACACTGGTCATACCTTTTTAAAAAAAAAAAAAAAAACAAACACCAAAGAAGCAGCAGAAAGAGAAGGATTTTTCTGGAGCTGCTCTGGTTAAATGGGGGAGCTGCAGAACTAAAGTTCCCTGATTTCCTCTCACTCCTGGGGCAGCTGCGCCCAAAGCTCCTCTTATAAAAGGGACTGGGCAAAATTTAGCACAATCCTTAGCTACCTAATTAGGGGATCCCTGGACTGTAAACACTTGGGTGAGGGAGGGCAGGAGTTGGTAGAGTGGCATGGGAAAGAAGCTTCTATTTAGCCAGAGTTTGAAGCCAAAGTCTTGTAACTCCAGAAAGGCACACACAGTCTTTGGAGTCAGACAGGCTTGGGCTGATTTTCAGCAAAAGGTGCTCACTAGCTCTGTGATGCTAAGCAAAGTACTTCACTTCTCAGGACCTCAGTTTCCTCCCCTGTAAATAGAACTAACATTATCTTTTTCATAGAGTTACAGTGAAGATTAAATGAGTAATAAGTAAAAAACAAAAGGTGGGGGAAAAGGTAAAGAGGAGGAGCCTACATATATGTCTCATATTTGGATCCTGGTCAACAAACTGTTAAAAAATGTGTGTGTGTGTACACACACAAACACACAATAAATAATCAGGAAAATTTAAAACACTAAATGGATATTTGATGATATTAAGGAATTTTTTAGGTGTGATAATAGTATTGTGGTTATGTTCTTTAAAGGAGTCCTTGGGGCCGGCCCGGTGGCACAGCGGTTGAGTTCGCATGTTCCGCTTCTTGGTGGCCCAGGGTTCGCTGGTTTGGATCCTGGGTGCAGACATGGCACCACTTGGCATGCCATGCTGTGGTAGGCGTCCCACATATAAAGTAGAGGAAGATGGGCACGGATGTTAGCTCAGGGCCAGGCTTCCTCAGCAAAAAAGAAGAGGACTGGCAGTAGTTAGCTCAGGGCTAATCTTCCTCAAAAAAAAAAGGAGTCCTTATATTTTAGAGATACACACTAAAATACTGAAGGCTGAAATGATATCTAGGATTTGCTTCAATATAATCTAGCTGTTGAGGGTGGGGGCAGGGGTGGGGAGGAGGCAGGACAAGAAGCCCTGAGTTAGTAATTGCTGAGACCGGGTGATGGGAACCATGAATAGTTCAACCTAATAACCTCTTCTTCTGAATATGTTTGAAAATTCCCACAATAGGTTTTTTGAAAAGTACCCAACACAATAGTGGTTGGTCCTGTCTGGTTCCAGAGCCCAGTGCTCTTTCCAAGACATCTTATCCCTCTTGTTGCCAATCAAGGAGTTTTACAACCTCTTACTCTGTATGGTCTCAGTTTGCTTCCCACACATCAAGTGTATCTGTTTTGCTTTTTCATTTCAAGGAAAAAGAAAGCACAGACTATTTTGACATTTAGAATAATGATTTGTTAATTACTACAGCATCAACTGTGGCAAACCCTTAAGCCCAGGGTATCTGCTCAGTTCTTAATGGATTGGTACTATTAATTCAAAACAAATGAAAAATAAAATCAATCAGATCTTTACGTCTTTCAGTTTACTTTTTTTAATTGTTTTTTAAAGACTGGCACCTGAGCTAACATCTGTTGCCAATCTTTTTTTTTCCCCTTCTTCTCCCCAAAGCCCCCCCGTACACAGTTGTATATTCTAGTCATAGGTCCTCCTGGCTGTGCTATGTGGGACACCACCTCAGCATGGCTTGCTGAGTGGTGCTAGGTCTGTGCCCGGGATCCAAATTGGCGAAACTCTGGGCCGCCAAAGCAGAGTGCATGAACTTAACCACTAGGCCATGAGCTGGCCCATTAGTTTACTATTTAATGTAAAGATAATTTAACTGTAATTTTGTGGTTTTAAATTTTTTCCAATAGTTAAGCCTATGCTGTAGACTTGCCCCAAAATGTCACTCTTCCAAGGTCTCAAAAGATTCAAAAGATTCTTGGACAGTCAGGATTTACACATGGTAAACACAAACTGACTGAAGTAAAGAATTCACACTCAACAGCATGCTCTCAGGAGAATGCTAAATCCATATAGCTCCTAGACAATTATTTACTTATCATTTTTCTTTAAAGCATCTCCTTTTGTAAATTCAAATGTACTTAGAAAGAAAACCTTATTGCACTATGATAAATACAAAGTAGTACCACTTGCCATAACTATATGGTAACTATAGAAATAAATATAATAAAGACAGTGTTATTAAATATATTTTTAATTTAAAAACCAAACAAAAAACGGTAATTTAAAAACAACTACTAAGAACTTCTTACCCATGGTCTACAAAGCCCTGCATAGAATGGGTCCTTCCTA